TATTGAAAAAAAATGGTAATGTAGCCTGACTTTTGATCTCTGCAAATGAAGAATGAGAAAGAGCAAATAACTACAGATACTCTAGAAATCTAAATAAAGTAAAACAATAATATATATGTATGCCAGTGGATGAAAACTCTTACAGAAGTAATTGAATTTCTAGAAAATGTGTAATATCCCTAAATTAGTTTAAGGAGAAAGAGATAACTTATAAAATCAATAAATATCAAGTAAATTAAAATTGGCCAAAGACTTATTTTTTCCCAAACCTCATGATGTGGTTTGGCTTTGTCCCCACCCAAATCTCATCTTGAATTGTAGTTACAATAATCCCCATGTGTTGTAGGAGGGACCTAGTGGGAAGTAATTGAATCATGGGGTCAGTTTCCCCCATGCTATTCTCTTGATAGTGGGTAAGTTCTCATGAGATCTGGTCCCTTTATAAGCGGCTTCCCCCTTCTCTGGATACTCGTTCTTCTCTTTGCTGCTGCCATCTGAAGAAGGCTATTTTTTCCCCTTTCTACCATGATTGTAAGTTTCCTGAGGCCTCCCCAGCCTTGCTGAACTGTGAGTCAATTAAATGTCTTTCCTTTATAAATTACTCAGTCTTGGATATGTCTTTATTAGCAGTGTGAGAACAGACTAATATACCTCACATGCCTAGATGGTTAAAGTGAATTCTAAAAATAAAATTTCAAGGAGCAGCTAATTCCTCTTAAATATAAGGTGTTCCAGAAAAGAGTGGAAAGGAAAAAAGCTGCCTGATCAATTTTATGGCATCATTTTGGCTACACAACTTGATTGAGGACAATACAAAGAAAGCTTATAGGCCCATTTCACTAATGAACATAGATGCAGAAATCAAAATCAAAAACAAAAACAAAAAAAAACAGTTTACTGAATCTAACAGTATAAAAAATATTTCAGAATCAAGTAAGGTTTATCCCAGGAAAGTAAGGATAGTAGCTTTAACATAATAATAAAGTAGAGAAAATAATGTGATTTTTCTTGGTTGATTCAGAAAAAGCGCTTGTTAAGTTTCAATACCCATTTATAATAACTTTAGGAAGTTAAGAACAGAAGAGAACATCTCTTGGTTGATACAAGTTTTATACCCAAAGTTGTAGCAATCATTATACCTAACAGAGATATTTAAACTCATTCCCTTTAATATAAAGACTTTGTGGAATAAGTAAACCAGGGGTTTATTAAACTGGAAGATGCCAGGTACAATTAATGCAATAATACCCTAATGAACACACCAGGATTAATCTACTAAATGCCTAGATGAATGCTACATGCTGAGATTCTCATTCTTATTTTGAAGTCTCCCATAAAGCTAGAAGTCAAATCTTCACCATCCGGGTAGAAGACTGGAAGACGATTCCTGGAAATCTGAGCAGCACAAAAAGAAAAACCCAAAGATGCATAATTGGAAGGTTTGTCTCACTTCAGGGTAAGGCTGAAAGTCAGCAAACTCCATATCAAAACACCAAGGATATATAGGACACCGTGAACAATTCTGAGCATATGAATTTGGAGTCCCAGAAAGAGGA